CTGATATCTACTCTTAGGGTAAAATGACTATTTCACCCCTGACCAAGTCCAAGTCCAAGTCAAAGTCAAAATCAAAGTCAACTTCCAGTTGACCTGACTCGCCGAGTTGGGCCGCCAACTCGTCGAGTCCCTAATCTTTTAACTGTCCTCATCCACGTCTCTACTCGTCGAGTTTAGAAATGACTCGACCAGTTCTCCTTCTATACGAGCATCGAATGAACCTTCATCCGACTCATCGAGTTGTATGAACAACTCGTCGAGTTCATCCTCATCCTAAGAACCAGTCCTGTCCTCGACTCACCGAGTTGTATGAACAAATCATCGAGTTTATCTTCAAGAGTTGGGAGATTGCATTAGACTCGCCGAGTCTGTTCATGCACTCGCTGAGTCCTATGAACTCCAGGACTATGGCTTAGCCCAATACGTTGGGTCACTCCCCTGGACCCTCTAAAACCTTTCTAGCACTCCACTAGGTCTCATTGACCCATAACAGAAAAGGGAGTCTAACCTCAGACTCGCCGAGTCCCAAGAACGACTCGCCGAGTCGATACTGTCCAAGTCTATTTCTTCGATTTCTGGCATACAACTCTTGTCCAAATGATAGATCTAGGTCCCTAAACTCGATCTAGCACGTAAAGTTACGAACTTTACGTGCATGCATGGGAATTTGAGCCTAAAAGGCCCTAAAAGAGACTCTTAAATTGCATGGGGGCTTCCATGGGTGCAAAAGCAGCCCTTTTCTGCCTTGTAACTCCTTCATGGACCTAGATCTGAAGCCTCAACCCCCAACCATGCTTGCAATCATGGTTGGTCACCAAGAATGGCTTATAAAAGCCCTAAATCTCCCCAAAAAGGGATCTAGCAAATGAACAAGCAAGGTACCGACTTTATACCTTCTGGGAACTGCAAATGATGCACAAACTTGAACTCCCTTGGTCTTCTCTTGATCCCTCTAGGCCCTTCCTTCTTCCTTGTGATCAAAATAACCACAAATGCCTTTAGATCTTCACACACACAGTTAGGGTTTGCTATGGGGGGTTTCTGGAAGCAATAGGGACGAAGGGTGGCTGAATGAGATGCTTAAATAGGGTGCAAACCCTTAGATTAGGGTTTTTTCCAGTTAGAGACTACTCGTCAAGTCTGGAGGCCGACTCGACGAGTCCGTCATTTAAATCCCGTATCCAATCCGCTTCTACTCGACGAGTTGGGCCTTCAACTCGCCGAGTCCCAGGCCAAAAATGCACAATACTTAAATAAAATACATACCAGGAACCAGGTGCTACAAGTGCCTTGGTAACCCTGTGACGTTTCCCGATCCAAGTGCGAGTCATTTGCTTCTGGTAGTACGGGCTCATACTACCTTCCACACCTACTCATACTCGTCCCAAAAATTGTCTCGCAGTCAACTAAATCACCATACACGAAAAGAATTATACAACAAATTAACCCATTGAGTAACATAACTAGGGATTTTTATAAATTTTGGAAAACGATTACAATACTTATTTGTGTTCACATACACTATGCCACCTTAAAATACTAACTATAAGGGGTGACTGATTCAAATTAGGAACATTGGATAAACAACTCCCTCTTCTTGATTTATTCTTTAGGTGACATCCGCTCCGTCTTCTGCTGTATCCATGATCATTTGAAATGTTCGTGCCTTTTCGGATTTGCATCTCCCTTCTTCCTTGGACAATCATCCTTGAAATGCCATAATTCCCCACACTCAAAACATGTCTTTTTGATCAGCAATACATTTGTTAGTGCGCGACGTCGTTTTGCTGGCGAGACTCTGGCTGGCTGAGGAATCTTCGGTCAGAACCTATAGCCATAATCAAACACTACGCCAGCCGTTCTCCGGGAGGGAATCCTAGGAGGACTCTCCAACGATCCAGTCAGCTATCTGGGAGAGAGACTTAGTGGAGTATGAGGAAGAGAGTAAAATATATCGTACCTCTTTAGGCGCTTCCTGAGTCCCTTATATAGTTAGGGTTTTAGGTGGAGGGGACCATCATAACGACATTTGATATACTGGGATGCTATTGGTACACCTGTCTCTGTCTGACTCTTCCTCTGTCCGGATTGGAGCATAGGGAATAAACGGTAGTGGCCCATGCACAACCGTACTAACGTCTCCCTTTGTAAGACAATTCGTAGCCCTACGTGGGGAGAAAGAGACTTTCCCCTAGATAACGTTGGCTGGCTATCGAGGATAGCCTATCCTTCGGTCTATCTTGCTAGGTTCTCGCCTCGACGTTCCCCTCTGCTGACTTGTAGGCTTAGAAGGACAGTGTCATTCAGCTGTTCCTTCTTTCATACGTTCGAGCCAGCAGCCGACTCGCTAGACGAGATACCATTGCGTTTAGTCAAACCACGACGGAACCCTATGGGGTACGTCATCAACCCCCTAGGAGAATGGCCTGCTTTTTCTGGGCTTTTGATTTTCCATGATCTTTATCCATAAATACCCGCCTTCCCCTTTACATGTATTCTTCTTTCCATCTTTCAGTTTTCTTCTTCTTCCGTTCTTCGTCTTTCAAAGAAAATGGCTCTCCCTATCAACATGATCTCTTCTCATGGTTTTGTTCCAACTTCTGAGTATGTTGAGACTCTTCGGGAGATGTATGTGTAACACCCGTGTTCCAGTATGGTTTAGCTTTTTATTCTCTAGGGCTAAAAATGGAGTTTTGGGAAAACTCTATGCCACGGCGTGGAGCAAGGATGCCTACAAAATGACATTAAATAAATGACACGTGTATTTTATTGAGCCACCATGGTGTGGCCAAGAGTTGTCACAGCATGACAGTTGTTCTGGCCCATGCCCACCATTCTTTTAGGGTTCCCTTCGTATTTAAACCCCTTTAAACCCATTTTAGGGTTCATTATCAGCCTCCAAGCACTCTTTCACCTCAGAAAACCCTAGCCTCCATCCTTTGTTTGATTATTGAGATTTTTAGAGATTTCTTGGCTTGAAGAAGAAGAAGAAGGTGATCTTTTGGTGGAGCTTGTGAGGAATCATCATTATCAACGCCTCATATTATCTTTGGAACTTTGTAAATGTCCAAGTTTTTTTTTGCTTTATGTCATTTGGTGGTAAGATCTTGAATGTTATCCAATGTTCCTCATGTTTGAGCAAGTTTGGAGGGAAGGAAATCATAAAGTTGGCAACTTTATGACTCTCATGAGTCCCAAGAGTATTAAATGTTATGAATATATTCTTTGATGGAAGATCTTATCGTTTACCTAAATTTTTGGCCTTTAGGGTTCATATTTTGACCTAAGATGGATCTTAGACATGTATTGGGCATACATGTCTATAAAGCTTCCACCTTTATGATAGATCTAGTATTACAAACCCTTCTGGAGTAGTTGGATTAAGGACTTTTTCGGATTAAGGGCTTAATGATTAAGACATTATGGATTTTGGCTTTATTTGGACCTAGGGTTTGAGATCTTGATCTCTTTGGGTGTCTTAATGGATAAAGTTGGAAACTTTATCCATTTAGACAATAGTATGTACCAGATCTGAACTTTGGAGCCCTTAGGATCGAGGGAGACAACTTAATCCACTAAGCTGTCGAAGACTCAATGCCCACGACATGTCACCAGGTTGCCACGACATGACAATATGGAATATCGCGATGGGCTATTGCTGGAGGGCCACAACGTGGCCATAGGTGGCTACGACGTGGCGGTTGACTAAAGTCAACATTGGCCGTTGACTTTGACTGTTGACTTTTGGCATGGGTTAACTTTTTGGGCCGATCTCTATTTTTAGAAGGTAGACATAGGGTTTACCTTGTGTGGATTGTTAGGAGTTGTTTTGCACCCATCTTTTAGGGGTGAGAGTTGTTGGTTGTGAACGGTGCAGTGGGGAGAATCTTTGACCTAGGTGAGCACCTTTAAACCAAGAGCATCTATACCCCAAATATCATCTTTACCGAAATTCGATCTATTCTTGAAGTTCCAAGGCCATTCCAACACATTAGTCACATGTCGGAGCGTCTTTTGCTTTAGTGCCTCTTCACATGTTGGAGCACATTTGGCCATGCATTGGGCTTGCCTCCAATACATTAGCCAAAAGCTCCAGCCTTAACCAAAAGCTTTAGTGTGTTACCAAATACTCCAGCACGTATATCATTTCTCAGTTCACATTTAACACTTCATACGGTGAAGATGAAGACATGGGAGAGGCGAGGGAAGTACATGGTTGGGCGGGTCTCCATTTATCATTGATAAAAGTTAGTAATAGTTAAAAAATAATCAAACCATACAAGATGAAAAAAAAAAGTTGTTGTAGGTGATTATAGAGTAGCGGTTGTAGAGGGAAGGGTTGTATTGTGGTGGGGTATGTTTTTATTACCATAACATATACAACGGTACAAAGGTAACATCACTTTTAACGAACCAAATTAAACAAAGTTGAATAGAGGGACCAAGCACGTGATAAAAAGAAACCTAAGGGATTGTCTACTTCCAAATTGAAAAAAATGGTCTTGATTTAAAAAAGTACATAACAACAGGACCATATTTGTAATTTACTTAAAAAAAAAAACAAAAAAAGCCAACAAGAGTAGACATCCGGTCCGACTTGGATCTGAAATTCATTAATTTTTTCACCGTGTGTGCTGGTGTTCAGATTGTTTGCTGGGGCATTTTAGAAAGTTTATAGTTTCCATTCTTGTTCAACTTCTGTGGTGTTGTCGAATTTGTTGTTGATCTCATGTCTTGGTTTCTATATCCTGTGGCGTTTGTTTGGGTTAGTTATACAACTTTGTCTTAGTTTTTGTAATATTTCCAGCTCCTGGCTGGTTTTCATTTATTTATACAATTGCTTTGCAGTTCAAAAAAAAAAAATACAAGTTGCAGTGACAACTCAATCGTCATGTGGCGTTGTCTTTAATTAATAAATGGTCGTATTAGTTTACATAACGTAACAAACGCGCGCGTTTCTGTCATTTTATTTTATACATATGATGTTTTCCGTGCCAATTAAATATAATAATCTTAGTGTCAGCTCTTCTATAAATTCCAGAAGACTAGCTTGTCACAAAAACCAGTGAGGAGCGAAGTTTTATACAAAATATGGTAAGCATTCCGGGGATGATGATATCCTCTTCCGATGGTCCCAGGCCCATGCCAGTGATCGCAATGGGCACAGCAGCAGCGTCAGTCTTCCATGGAAGTGATGCCATGGCACCATCGACTATAGTTGACGCCATTAAGGTGGGTTATCGTCACTTCGACACCGCAGTAACATACCGAACTGAAAAACCTATCGGTGAAGGTATCAGCGAAGCACTCCGGCTGGGTCTTATCAAGTCTCGATCTGAACTTTTCATTACGACCAAGCTGTGGGGCATCTCCGCTGACCGCCATCTTGTTTTACCAGCCATCAATCAGAGTCTCCGGTAAGATTTTGCCTCCCTCCCTCGATCTCACTTGTATCATATATTCAGTACAATTACTGTTTACCGAGTCGGGTTTTAGGGGATTTTTTCAAGTTTAAAACCACGACTAACCTGATCTGGTTGACCATTAACAACCTTGTTATCATCAAAATTATAATTGCTCTCTGTTTTCGGGACGGAGAGGGTAATTATAAAGAAAGAATATCTGTATCACATCACCTTTATTTCATTAAAGATATAATTTTTATATGTTTTTGTAGATCTTTTATACATGATTGAGTATCACCAGGTTAGTATGGGTGCTATATTTTTTTATTGAAAGATACTTCATCCTGCTTTTATGCTGCTATTATATATATATATATATATATATATATATATATATATATATATATATATATATAATGCATGGTTGGTAAGGAAAAAGATAACCAAATCGAGGGGGAGCTAAATAATCATTGAATGAAAGTCCACGATGCATGCTATATATATAAACACAAATGAAGAAGTAGCTAGACTCTGACGTAAAGTATACGACCTAATAATAAAAATATGTATAATGTAGGAATCTGGGATTAGAGTATGTGGATTTGTATCTTATACACTGGCCACTGAAGCTAAACCAAGATGAAGTGAGACTCCCTATTCCCAAAGAGTGTATAGCCGCAATTGACCTCAAAGCAGTATGGGAAGCAATGGAGGAGTGTCAAAGTCTAGGACTCACAAAATCCATTGGCGTCAGTAATTTTTATCCTAAATTGATTCAACAGATTCTTTCGTTTGCAAAAATCCCTCCTGCTGTCAACCAGGTGATCATCGTCCACTCAAACATAAAATTTAACCCGCTATCATCATAAAATGATTTATAATAACTTTATTTAACACAAGTCAAAGTGAAAATATGTTGTTACTAACATCATTAAAATCTGGTTTGAAGGTTGAGATGAACCCACGTTGGCAACAAAAAAAACTCACTAAATTTTGCAAAGAGAATAGCATCCTCGTGACTGCTTACTCCCCTCTAGGTGCTTTCGGCAATAAGGCATGGGGAGACAACCATGTCATGGAATGCGATGTTCTCCAAGAAATTGCCAAGTCCAATGGGAAGACAGTGGCTCAGGTACTCTTTATTGTCTCACTACTACTCATATAGATATAGCAGCAGATTAGAAAACGTGACGCAAGATGACTTTTAAAGTCAAATATGTTCCTTTATTATTCAAGATGAACTTTGGTTCGGTTTATATTGTTTTATTTTTATTTTTATTATTTTTTTTATTATTTTTGTTATTGTTCTTGGTTAAAGTGAATAAGGCGTTGACTATGAAGTCGAACACTAACACATTCACATCAGAAGTCTAACACTATAGTACGTATGGTGAACACATGTACTAAACTTCTATTACAAATGTGCAGATTTCTCTAAGATGGTTATATGAGCAAGGTGTGAGTATCGCAGTAAAGAGCTTCAATACAGAAAGGATGAAGCAGAACTTAGACATCTTCGGCTGGTCCTTGACTGAAGAGGAACTGGAAAAAATCGACCAGATTCCTCAACACAGGCTTGTGTATCTAATAGGCAAAATGACAACTGAGCCTAACGATATAATGGCTGAGATTGATGCAGAGCTTGATTAAAGAAGTATCATGATCAGTAAAAATAAATGTGACTGATCAACTACTTATGCATACTTTAATAAGACATTGTTAATTTGTTTGCATGCTTATATAAATATGAATGATCAACTACTTATCACATAAATAACACATCCCAAATAGTTTGACTCAATCACTCCCTCTTCCACGTATATACCTTCTATACATATTATGTGTATTTTCCCTCTTGTATAAAACTATTACGGCTCCTCTCTAGCCTAGCAACTAGAGACTAAGTTTCATCATAGTCAATCTCTTATTGCTGCATATAACATTTTGCAACGAGTTGGACCTTATTTCGAATGACGGTTCCAAACTCATCAACTTTGTTACGGAAAACCCATCGTGTACCTATGACGACTAGATGCTTCGCAGGGGAAACCAAAATCCATACTTAGTTCCTTTCAAACTTTGTCAATTCTTCTTGCATTGCTTTAATTTAGTCAAAATGTTCCAAAGCCTTATGAATTTTCTTTGGTTCCACTAACAAGATGAAAGCAACATAGTCACATTCGTCTTGAATCTCTTTGGCGGATCGAGTTTTAACATTGATGCTAGGGTTTCCAATAACTTGATTCGTGTTGGGGAGAAGATAAGGTTTCAAAAGGATAAACACCAAACTAATTTTATCTTATTAATATCATATTATCATCATGTAGATTACATGTGCCCCTTTATATACATGAGGCAGAAACGGTCAGGTATATCCTAATCAATAAATCGATCATGAACCAATGATTCAAAAATAACTGTCATATTTAACACATTAACTGTATCAGAAAATTAATTAACTAACGTATAGGTTAATATTCTTGTGTTGATGCCGTATAGGTTGTTGGTGATTTTAGTGTTATCAACATATTTTAGTGTAATTATTAATAATATTGAGATATGTTGACTTCTATTTTCTCACCGAGACTGGATGTGCGGGGTGTATTGTAACATCCCAAAATTTACGACCAAAAATTTCATTTTTAATTTAATAATTATAAAACCATTTGTCTGAAAACATCATAGTACTATCTCATATCAAAACCAATGTATCCATAGTCAACACATGTCATGACAAAATAATATCAGAGTATAAATCCCATAGATCTCATGTGTGGAAATCCTGGTGTGATGCGCTGCAGTCATGCCGGCTCCTTTCCCTTTGAAGAGGAAGTACCTGAAACCAAAACTAAAAACCGTAAGCACAAAGCTTAGTGAGTTCCCCCATCATACCACATACCATACAGTAAACATACTGCTAGACATATCTGGGTGCCCGGCCTACCCTACTGAGCATATCTGGGTGCTCAACCTACCATTGTCAGGCATACCGGGGTGCCCGACCTACCCCTGTCAAGCATATCTGGGTGCTCGACCTACCTCGCCAGGCATATCTGGGTGCCCGACCTACCATCCGATTTATTTCAACCGATTACGAGGATTATTTCACCCCTACCACTACCACATAATAACATAGCATAACATACTGTCAGGCATATCCGGGTGCCCGATCTACCATCCGGTTTATCTCAACCGGCTCCGGGGTCTGACCTACCCCTCCTACCACTATTACATAATATCATAGCATACTAGCACATAAAGCATAACAGATAGTGGCATACCAGACAATTATCACAAAGACAATCATTTCAACTATATCAACTACTAGTGGGTCGGCCTTGGTGCCTTCGACCCACTTCTACTGGAAGGTATCTCACCTCGATAACTGGGAATAGCTGCAAGAACTCCTATTCTAAAATCAACCCCTCTCAGACTCCTACACATAAACATTTCCTTTAATTACCCTTTTCATACTCATAACCCCTTTAAGGGTCAACTTTGCTAAAGGTCAAAGTCAAAGTCAACATCCTGGTCAAAGTCAACAACCTGGTTGACTCAACTCGCCGAGTTGGTTCATCAACTCGTCGAGTTCATGAATCAGGAACCATGAATCGCGATCCAACTCGTCGAGTTCTTTCACAACTCGTCGAGTTCCTCCTATCCATAGAATCAGGACTTCTCCAATCAACTCGTCGAGTCATCCTTAAACTCGTCGAGTTTTTGCCCTTTACAGACTCGGGATTGTTCGACCCAACTCGTCGAGTTCCCCTATGGACTCGACGAGTTCTTCAGTCTGTTGAGCCATCTTAATAGATTAAGCTCTTATCCTTTAGATCTAAGCCCCATACTTCATCTACATACTGAAAATGTCTTTTTAAGGGTAAAGTTTCCAACTTTACCCGTTAATAGCCCTACTTAATGGGTTTAGCTCAAACCCTATTTCTTTAAGACATAGATCTTGATCCAAAAGCCATAATACTTCAAACTAAAGCATAAAAACTGAGATCTAGACCCTAGACACCATATAAACACGTAAAGTCCCTGACTTTCTCTCCATGCATGACCTTTTGGAGCTTAAAAGGCCAAAATGGCATCCTAAAGCTTGTAAGGGACTTCCATGGCCATAAAGTTTGCACCTTTATGCCAGGAAAGTCCTTCTAGACCACAGATCTGAAAGAGTAATCACTTGGGACATCCAAGTCTCAAAAGCTAGCAATCTTGGACCAAAACATGGAGAAATCACTCCAAAACTAGATCTAAACATTGAATAGACAAGATAGGATCTTTATACCTCTACTGAACTAGAAATGGAGCTCAACTTCTGGATCTACTCTCCTCCTTCACGTCCTTGCTCCTTCTTCAAGAATCCTCTTCTTCAAAACCTCAAGAATGCACCAAAAATGGCTCAAAACTCTCAAAAGTGTGTTAGGGTTTCGTGGCTAGGATTTAGGACGATGGAGGCTGCAAATGAGGTCAGTCTTTGGAGGTTAAGGTGTTTAAATAGGGTGCTAAACCCTGAAAATTAGGGTTTCATTTTGGCAGCCCTACTCATCGAGTTGAATCCCTCAACTCGTCGAGTAGACTTGAAGTTCCGCGTCTAATTTCCGTTCCTACTCGACAAGTTTGGGGCCTCCAACTCGTCGAGTTCCTGTACAAAAATGAATAAATTGATTTAAAATACATACCAGGAACCGGGCGTTACAAATCTCCCCCACTTATTTTAGACTTCGTTTGGAAACAGCTCTGGGTAGTGCTCCCTCATCTTGTCCTCCACCTCCCAAGTCCATTCCGAGCCCTTACGGTGCTGCCATTGCACCTTCACTAACTCAACCCTCTTGTTCCTCATATCCTTCGTCTTCCTGTCGAGGATAGCTACCGGTCGCTCAATGTAGTTCATGCTGTCATCCACCTGAATATCCTCTAGAGGCACCACTGCGAAGTCATCTACCAAACACTTCCGCAGCTGGGAGACATGAAAGGTGCTGTGGATTTGACTAAGCTTGGCTGGTAGATCCAGTCAATACGCCACCCGCCTCACCCGGGCCAATGCCCTGAACGAACTAATATATTTGGGGCCCAACTTGACCCGCTTCCTGAACCGGATGACACCCTTCCAAGGTGACACCTTCAGGAGGACCATATCTCCTACCTGAAACTCCAAGTCTGATCGACGTCTGTCGGCGTAGCTCTTCTGCCGACTCTGGGCCGGTTGGAGTCTACTCCGGACCTGCTGGATCCTCTCTGTCGTATTGAGTACCACTTCAGTACTCCCCATGACCCTCTCTCCAACCTCACCCCAACATATCAGGGTTATGCACTTCCTCCCATATAACATCTCGAAGGGAGGACGGTCGATGACGTGGTAGCTATTATTATAGGAAAACTCTGCCAAGGGAAGGTAGGTATCCCAGCTACCACCGAAGTCTAAGACACACGCCCATAGCATATCCTCCATGGTTTGGATGGTCCACTTACTCTGTCCATCATTCTGCGGGTGAAAAGTCGTACTAAAGTGCAGACGAGTACCCAAATCGTCATGAAATCTCTTCTAGAATCTGGAAGTGAACCGTACATCTCGGTCAGAAATCACGGAAATTGGCACTCCGTGTCGAGCTACTACCTCCCTGATGTAGATGTCGGCCAACTTCTCGGCCGAAATGCTCTCCTGGATCAGAATGAAATGGGCACTCTTGGTCAATCGATCCACGATGAACCAAATCGAATCCACTCCCCGCGCGGTCCTGGGAAGCTTCGTGATGAAGTCCATAATAATATCCTCCAATTTCCACACAGGGATATCTAACGGCTGCGTCTTGCCGTGAGGTCTCTGGTGCTCGGCCTTGACCTTCCTGCAGGTCAGGCACCTCTCAACATACCAGGCTACATCCCGCTTCATGCAGGGCTACTAGTAATCAGGACGAAGATCTCTATACATCTTCGTCACCCCGGGATGGATCGAAAATCGGGACTTGTGCGCCTCCTCCATCAGGATCTGGTGCACACCTCCTACGTAAGGAACCCACACTCTACGGTGAAGTGTCAACAGCCCGCGGCTATCATAGTCGAAGGAGGAAATATGACCCACAATATGCTCACTTTTCTGGTGTTCCTCCTTCATAGCCTCCTGCTGGGCCTCCCGGATCTGCTCCAAAAGTCAAGTCACCACTGTCATCCTCAGACAGATGTCTCTGATCGGGGATGTGAATGCCTTACGTCTAAGTGCATCGGCCACAACTTTGGCCTTCCCCGGGTGGTAGAGGATCTCACAGTCGTAATCCTTCACCACATCTAACCACCGACGCTGCCTCATGTTCAGATTTGGCTGATCCAGAAGGTACCTCAAGCTCTTGTGGTCAGTATAAATGGTACAATGGACCCCATATAGGTAATGCCGCCAAATGTTGAGGGCGAAAACTATAACCCCCAACTCCAAATCGTGCGTTGGGTAGTTCGCCTCATGAGGCTTCATCTGCCTCGAGGTGTAGGCGATGATGTGCCCTATCTGCATCAACACTACGCCCAAACCCGAGATGGACACATCGCAGTATACTACAAAATCCTCAACGCCCTCTGGCAAGGCTAAGATCGACGCCTCATACAACCTCTGCTTCAAAGTCTCGAACGTTGTCTGCTGCTCGGGCCCCCAACGAAATACGACGGTCTTCTTCGTCAGCCGGGTCAGGGGTACTGCTATCTTGGAGAAATCCTGAATAAATCTCTGATAATAGCCTGCTAACCCAAGGAAACTCCGAATCTCATATGGAGACTTCGGAACCTCCAATCTCATCACGGCCTCCACCT